CCCTGCCCAACATCCACCCAATGCAAACCCGATCCAAAGCTGGTACCTTCTGCCCCAAACAAATCCTAAATCTCAATACCTCTGCACCCATTTCCCCCTTACCCCCAACTTACCCTAGTGCTCTCAAGGATCCAAACTGGCATGCTGCTATGTGTGATGAATATAATGCTTTGATCAAGAATGACACATGGGAATTAGTACCCCCCTCCCCCACACAAAATATCATCACCGGTAAATGGCTCTTCAGACACAAACTTGGCCCTTCAGGTGAGTTAACCAGGTATAAGGCCCGATGGGGCCTGCCACTATCCGCATCGTCCTTAGTCTTGCTCTGTCTCGCGGTTGGCGCATTCATCAGCTAGATGTCAAAAATGCATTCCTCCATGGCCAGCAGGAAGCCGTGTATGCCAGTCAGCCGTCTGGGTTCCAGGATGCCAAACGCCCTCATCATGTCTGTAAGCTCAAAAAGGCCTTGTACGGCCTCAAGCAGGCACCTCGCTCATGGTATCACATGTTTGCAGGTTTCATTCAGACTATTGGGTTCCAAGGGTGCAAGTCTGACACGTCCCTCTTCACTTTCTCTCATGCCGCGGGCACGGCCTATCTCTTACTTTATGTCGACGACATCGTTCTCACTGCCTCTTCACCTGCACTCCTTCAGAGCATCATTCGGAAACTCAAGGCTGAGTTTTCTATGACAGACATGGGCGACTTACATTTCTTCCTCGGCATCAATGTCCATCGCACCTCCACTGAGATGTTCCTCCATCAGACTCAGTTTACCCATGACATCCTCGAGCGGGCTGGGATGGTCTCGTGTCGTCCCATCTCTACACCAGTGGACACAAAGGCAAAACTATCCTCCTCAGCTGGGACGGCCCTTCCTGATCCGACGTTGTACATGTCCATTGTTGGAGCTCTGCAGCATCTCACTTTTACTCGACCTGACATCACTTATGCCGTCCAGCAGCTTTGCCTTCACCTCCATGCACCTAGGGACGTGCATCTCACGGCCATGAAGCGAATCCTCCGCTACCTGCAGGGCACGGCCACCCATGGCATTCATCTCACGTCATCCACTACAGACTCTTTGCAGGCCTACTCTGATGCAAACTAGGCTGGATGTCCTGACACTAGACGCTCCACCTCTGGTTATTGTGTCTTCCTAGGCGATAACTTGGTCTCCTGGTCATCCAAGCGCCAGGCCACTACCTCCCGATCCAGTGCCGAGGCCGAGTACCGGGCTGTGGCGAATGCCGTAGCTGAGACTTCGTGGATCCGCAACCTTCTCCTTGAGCTACGACAGCCACTCAGACGTGCCACCCTTGTTTTCTGTGACAATATCAGTGTCGTCTACCTATCATCAAATCCGGTACAGCACCAGCGGACCAAACATGTGGAGGTCGACATACACTTTGTTCGGGACAAAGTAGCACTTGGGCAGGTTCGTGTTCTTCATGTGCCCTCTTCTTCCCAGTATGCTGACATCTTCACCAAAGGCCTACCGTCCCTGCTCTTCCTCGAGTTCAAATCCAGCCTAGGCGTCCGACCTCCTCCACATCCGACGTAGTCGGGAGCATGCTAAATATATTAATTATATTTAATTATAGTATTACCATACTTGTATAGGTTTCCTAATGTGGCTCTCCTACTGTGATTAGGATTGAAGCCTCTAGTATATATTGTTGTATTCTCTACACAATTATTCAATGAAAATATTCTTTCTACACACAATCACTTCAAATACCCGTGAAAGCGTCTAAGCCACCCTCTCTAGATTGTCACATCTCTGACGATGTTTTTGCAAACTCTCCAGTAGCTCTATCTTTTACATACAACTCACACATCTTATCATAAAATAGTATTGGCTTGTCCCGCCAATCTTTTTCTTCTGCAGGAGCCTAGATAATAAATTAAATTTGTATTAGAATCGCCGCATAATGCATATGTCCATTTCATACATACAAAAATTAGTTCATCCATACCTCCACAAAAGCATCCCATGCATCATCATCGACTTCCCAAGTCATTGTGGTTGAGTTGAATCCCCAACCACTTGTTGAGATGTGTCAGAAAAAAATAAAACGCAACTGAGAATTTACCTTTAAGTAGCCGCTGCATATGCCCACAAAACTTGCCTTTTGTCCAATTCTCATCTGGATATTTTTCTTTCAACTCTTTCAAAATATAGTCATAAGCTCGGGGAGTGAATGTACATTCAACACGATTTCCTTTTATGTGTTGTTCCAAATGAGCACCAATAAGAAACTCATCCATGTCCTCAGTCCAGGTTGTTGTGCGCACACCTCCCCGATTGTTTTTTGTAGCCATTCTATAATATAAGCAAACAAATAAGAACACATACTAATGTGTACTACAAGAATAGCACATATATGTTTAACATAAGATAATAGTCATTATGCATTCGTATGTTGCACAAGAAACAAGTACATACTCAATAGTTATATAAAATTCAAAATCTAAACAGAATGTTGCACATAGTAAATTTAAATACACACACCATTATAAGTCATTCATAACATCAAAAAGTTTTACAAAAACTATGTATAAGTAATGTAATCCTCTCACATGGCATTTGCAATGGAATCACGTAATTCTTCTGCCATCTGTGTGTTCTCGTTCCCATTATGAGCGTGAGGTATGTTATGCATATGTGTTTCAATCTCACTATCCTCAAGGTTGTCATCTTCGTCTTCATCTATGACTTCGTTCCAAGCCTCGTCAGGATCCCGACGTAGCTAATAATTGTGTAAAATTGAGCAAGCCACTATTATTTTCTTTTGCGTCTTTATTTTAAAATTTGGTTCATCATCACTTTTCATAATTGTGAAACCTTTCTTGATCACACCAAATGCCCTCTCCAGCACATTTCGTAGTGACGCATGACGCAAGTTAAATAGTTCTCTCTTATTTGTTAGTGGGTTAACGGCGTATTCTTTTAAGTGATACCTTACCCCTCTAAAAGGTGTGATCACACCTTGAGATAAAGGTAATCTGGCATCACCTAAATAAAACTTACATATACAAAAAGAAAAAGAATGTGTTATCTTAAAATACTTTCATACTTATTATAGTAAAAAATCAATACTTACCTTGTGGAATTTTCAAAGGGTATGCACGATGCAACACATCTCTCAACATTCTAGCATCAGATACCGTCCCCTCCTAACCCGGTAGTATGTACGTAAAGCTTAGATCAAATGTGCAAGCACCTAGAACATTTTGAGTTGGAAACTCTTTTCTACCACGGAATCTAGGTTCATCAGCCACATGCACTTTTGCCCGCATATGAGTTCCATAAATTGCTCCCACACAATCCTATGGACATAATAACTTTAGATGTAGCTTGCAAATTTTAAAAGAGTGTGTGAATTTGTGTTTATGTAATGTCACCTTGAAATAAGAGAAAATTTGGAATTGTTAAATATCATAGGAGGGATCTGTGTGTCATCTGGTTGTGTTGGAAACAATGCTTCTAACTCAATTACAACATTCAGAACATTGTGAAAATGTTTCCATATAACCTCTCCTGAACGAGCAAACAATCGCCGCACTTGCCTATTAGTGACACGGTGGCCAAGTATGTACAAGAAAAGAGCAACTTGTTCTTCAATACTTATCCATTTCGTTGCTTTTAACGTATCCGGCCCCGTTCGTATCATATCTCGACATACAAGTCTATTCGTCAACACCTCTCGTAGAACAATTTTTAAATCCTTTGATTCTAAGGAAATTGATCCATCCACAATTCTCACTCGATCTCTTCTAGTGCGTAAATACCACACTTGTAGTAATATGAATACCAAAAATAAAGATGTCATATGATTTAAGTAGAAATAAGCAAGCATATTATCATCCATTGATGCCACAAATCAGAACATAAAAATTTAGCATAATTCACGTTAATTTGTAAGAACTCAAATCACTAGCATCTACAAGTCCAGATAATTTCAAAAAAACAGAGTAAAATAAAAAAACTGCAGAAAACGAAGTATAATAACAAAACTACAAAAACAAAATACTCAAAATTGCACAATTGTAGAAAAAACAGAAAAAAAATAACCAACACAAAAAAAGAACAGAAAAAACCACAAAAAAAGCAGAAAAAAGAGGAGAAACGAAAACAGAAAAGTAATGATCGAAAATACTAAAACTGAAAATTAGCGAAGAATGGTAGCAGCGCATAGCGATAGAACGGTAAATCTGAGAAAAAACTATGCAGAGCAGAAATTACTGGAAAAAAACTAGGCAGAGCAGGAAAAAAACTAAGCAGAGTAGAAAATTAGATCGGCAACAACTATCGAAAATTAGATAGGCTAAAACTGAAAAAAAGTAAGCAGAGCCGAAAATACGTGTCCTGGAGATGGCAATCTGAAATTACTGGCGATCGGAACAATGAAGATGGCGATGCGATCGGAAGGGTGAAGATGGAGATCAGTTTTCCCTATGGTCCTCTGCAAACGACGAAAAGGGTAGCAGCGGAAAATAGTTTATTACCTTGAGATTTCGCTAAATTGCGACCACCTAAAATCTACTATTGAGAGGTAACCGTACCTCCATCTACCTCCCCGACCTCTCTTGACCTATCTCAATTTTTATTACCAAACAAGGTAGAATATTAAATCTATCTCCCCTAACTCCAAACTAACATAGTCTAAACTCATTTCCAATTCTCTAATGCAATTACTTTTTTCTATTATTTTTAAAAATAATTAAAATAAATATAGCGTTGTTTCAACGCAAACCTGTAACACACGTATAAATACCACACCCATCCACCAATGCTCACTTTCGAAGGGTTTGTCTAGACAGGGAAGAGAGTAGATAACTGAGAGGGGAGAATGTCGCAGGGACCGGACGGAGAGAAGAAGCCTACCCCCACCGCCGATCAAGCGGCTCACATCAACCTTAAAGTCAAAGGACAGGTTAACTTTTTCTCGTCTGCCTCTATGCATGCATCTTAGTCGAGGTTTTGTTCATGGTACATATTACTTTGCGATTTCCTCATTGAGTTTCCGTGTACAATGATGGTTTTATATGCTTTAGAGGCTACTGTATGGTTTTCACTATTGAATTTGTGTCTGCCTATGAATTGTGAACCCAATCAAAAGTATTGAGTCAGTTGGGGTTTAAGGTTTGGTCGTTCAGATAAGCTCTGTCGATTCATTGCACTAATTCGTTCCAGATTATAGTGAAGTATCACATCAGTGGGAAACTAAGGGTATAGTAGGGGTTGTGCTGGCTGTGGTATGTCATTTATGGTGCGATTGAGTTTCTGCCAACGCTTGATAGTTTGCTGTCTTATGATTTTGACTCTATTGTTTGATTTCCATGAATTTGGCTTTCTATAAATTGTGAACCCAATCAAAAGTAGCTAGTCAGTTGGGGTTTGAGGTTTGTCTCATTCAGGTTAGCTTTTATGGGTTTATTGTATGCATATGTTTCAGATTTTAGTGGAATATTTCAGCATTGGGAAACTAAGGGTCTTAGTGGATTGTGTCTTTGTAATTTCATCTGCTAGTCTCTCACTGCACAGCTAGAGGAAGCACTGATGGGAGGGGGTTTGTTTATATTTGTTTGAATTACATGCTTCTTTTGCAGGACTATTTGAATTTGTTGTTTTCTCTATTTTTTCCTTCATGAATCGTTTCTTAGGGTCTAAATCCTAACCAAAAAGGGCAATATACCATTCTTTTAGTTGGAGAAGACTACCACCCTCTCATGTAAAGAGTCTTGGATGTAATACTGAAATCAATCTTACATATACGACTCTTTGTGTGGGATGGAGGGAGTACTGTAAGTAAGCATTTTATGGGAATCAGTACACATGCTTCTTGCATTCCATTTGTATTGCTGCTTGTGGTTTCTTTTTTATGGTTTGTTTTTAGCTGTGTACCTAATCTATGCCATGTAAAGTATCCCCTATTCTTATTGGTTTCTCTGTGTTCATTTTGATTGTTCAATCTTGTAATACAAAATGCATGAGAAATATGACAGTGATGAAGCATGACCACCTTGGGCAACCAAGGTTTACTTAGATTGTGTGCTGGTGGAATGTCATGTACTACGCAGCTCACCAAAAAATTGAAGAGTTGGTTTTTGGCTTTTATTATTGGTTGAAGCACAATCTTCTTTTGCAGGAATAGTGGAATACTCTCTTTCTCTGTTTTCTATCCCCCCCAGACATTGATGGTCCACACATGATTATTGTTTAGCTGATGAAGAATGCTACCTCCTCATGTAAAGAGTCAGTTTTGTGATACGGAAATCAGTATTACAAACAAGACTTTTTTGGGACAGATGGAGTATCATCCTTTGGAACTCATCTGCGAGCACTTGTATTCCTTTTCTTAGCTGAAATCAGTTTTACAAATAGGAATCATTTAGTGCTTTTTTATGATTGTCTATTATTGCAGATAGAAAATGCTTGCATGTATAGCGAAATACCAGTATGCCAGAGTGATGGGTAGTTCTTTAACTGAAATGCAGACTGAATGATTTTTTTTTTAAATTTAGGATGGCAATGAGGTCTTCTTCAGGATAAAAAGAAGCACTCAACTGAAGAAGCTAATGAATGCATACTGTGACCGACAGTCTGTTGACATGAATGCAATAGCTTTCCTGTTTGACGGGCGCCGACTTAGGCAGGAGCAGACTCCAGATGAGGTCCCCCCACCTCTCTCTCTCTCTCTCTCTCTCTTCATATGTACTTTATTTGCATGTATTCAACCACACAGTGAGAGAATGATTGTGTTATCAGATTAATTTGCATAATTTCTTGCCTTTCTGCATGCGCTAGTGTTAGCCATCAATGGAAAATAGCAAGGAGAATGATTGTAAAATTTGGCAGAAAATAGAAACGTAGTACTCGTCAAGAGGAATGACGCAGAAATCCAAGAAAAGTAACATTGTGTGGTTGATGTTAATGTTATAACGTAAGATAAAGTAAGAACTAATATGAAGTACACAAATATGATCAAATACGGTATCTGACAAATAGTGGGGACGATTTAAAAGGACAAAAATAGTGGGAGGGAAGGATTACAAACTTTACATTACAATTTTAGATGTTTGTACAAATATTTTTTTATTCTTTATTTTTTTATTCACTTAGAGACAGACACAGGTATATGCAGACTTTTGATCAAATTTGATTTTTCTTTGTATTTTTAAAACCGAACATCGAAAGCTGCTCAGTAATCTGTATTTTTCCAATCCACTTCTGTGGCCCCCGTCCCAAACACATCAATACTGATTTGTCATTCTTCTTTTTGATGTTTCAGCTGGAGATGGAAGATGGTGATGAGATTGATGCAATGCTTCATCAAACTGGGGGAACCTCCAAGCAACATTTTACTTCTTGATGAAGATTACTTTGTGCCACCATTTGAAGTTTAGCTTATTGCAATTACGCTTGGTAAATTGCCTAGGATCATGGGGTTGCTGTTTTAGTTTCATGAAACAGAATATGGTTTGAAGTCTCAAGTTGTATGAGCTTCTTTTTTCAACTTAAAATGCCAATGTTTCTCTGAATTAATGTAGCAAGACCCAAGCCTTTGTTCTGTCATCTTCCTGCTTAATACTCCACTTTAAATTTGAACTCATATACTTTGAGTGATGTATAGTTGTTCTATGTTAAGTGTCTTGCTTTGCCAGGTAATATGACAAGCTGACTCATACTTTCACCAAAGTAAAATTTTCTCTTTCATCTCCTTTTACTATGGGCTGTTTTGGATTAGCTTTAGATGTCTCTCAAGAGCAAATTGTTTCACTCTCATGCTAAAAAAAGATTTCATTGCCGACTTAGAATATTTTATTGTTAAGTTCGAGATGGATTGGTGTGGGTTTCCTTACGCCTAGGACACGAATATGGAATCCTAAAGGAAAATATTGGCTTTGGAAAAAATACTCCGTAGTATAGATGGCCCATGTCGGAACAAGGTTGAAGTCTACTGGTCCGTTAGGATGCCTCAGTTGCATACATCACTGCACTTCCACTTGACACCTATTGTAGTGATAAATAGTTTGTCTTGCCCTGAACTTCACAAAAACTTTGCTCCATCTCTGGCTCCTTGCAGGGGTAGAGAACCTTTCGCTACAACCCAAGCTCTAAGTTCAAGTCTACTGATCTGTTAGGATGCCTCAGCTGCATACATCATTGCAATTCCACTTGACACCTATTGTAATGATAAATGGCTTGTCTTGTCGTGACCTTCACAAAAACTTTGCTCCATCCCTGCAGGGGTAGAGAACATGTCGCTGCAATCGGAGCTTTGGAGAATTCAGAATGGGAGAGCACTCATCTTGGGGTGGGCTTACTACTTAGATGCTTTCAGCAGTTATCTGCTCTGCACTTAGCTACCCAGTGTTTACCGTGGGCACGATAACTGGTACACAAGAGGTGCGTCCTTCTCGGTCCTCTCGTACTAGGGAAAGGTCCTCTAAATGCTCTAATGCCCACACCGAATATGGATCGAATTGTCTCATGACATTCTGAACTCTGCTCACGTACCGCTTTAATGGGCGAACAACCCAACCATTGGAACCTACTACAGCCCTATCGACATCGAGGTGCCAAACCTTCTCGTCGATGTGAGCTCTTGAGGAAGATCAGTCTGTTATCCCTAGAGTAACTTTTATCCGTTAAGCGATGACCCTTCCCCTCGGAACCGCCAGATCACTAAGACTAACTTTTGTCCCTGCTCGACGAGTGGGTCTCGCAGTCGAGCTCCCTTCTGGCTTTGCACTCGAGGGTCAATCTCCGTCTGGCCCGAGGAAACCTTTGCACACCTCCGTTGAGTCCTGGTTAGCAGTGAAATGCCACTCCAACTCAGAGCTAGCTTGTTCTAGGCACAACAGTTGACTGGACATCTAGGGGTAAAGCACTGTTTCGGTGCGGGCCGCGAGAGCGGTACCAAATTGAGGCAAACTTTGAATACTTGATATGACAAAAAACAATACTAAAAAACTAAGAGCGGGACAAGGTCGGCCAGTGAGACGATGGGGGATAAGCTTCATCGTCGAGAGGAAACAATCCAAATCACCATCTAAGGCCCCTAAATGACCGCTCAGTGCTAAAGGAGGTAGGGCTGAAGAGACAGCCAGGAGGTTTGCCTAGAAGCAGCCACCCTTGAAAGAATGCGTAATAGCTTCAATTTATTTACAAGATGTTGTTAGATAAAAAAAGTATTGCTTTTGTTTCAATTTAAATTGCCGTTTCGGGGTGTATGATAGTTGATTGAAAATATTTTAAATTTATTTGCATAAAAATTTGTATGAAATTGAAAAATAAAATTTATATATTTGAAAATTACATTTACAGTTATATATTAAGAAGTGACATATGAATGTTGAGAACTATTTTAACAATTGAATACTGAAAATGGCTAATAAAAATAGTTAACATTTGGTTATGTGAATATTGAACAAATAATTTAAATTGTGACAATATGGGTAAAATATACTCTATTAAATTGTTACATTTAAAGTTTTACAAAAATAAAACGTGTTTTGATTATTTTATTTTATCAAATTAGAAATGAAAATATGAAGGGAAATAAAACAATTTGATCACGTACCAGGACAATGGGACTGAATATCTTCTTTTTTTAAATCAAGAGTAAATTTCATAAAAGGTCCCCAGTTATAGGTCGTTTTACATATCCCTACATATCAAATATTACCAATTTAGTTCCCAATTATTATATTCATTTCCACGAATGGTCCTTTGTTAACATTTCCGTTAAGAACGTGAATAAAATTGTAAATTCACACTCCTTTCTCTCTTCAATTAAGCTTCCTCCCTCCCCTCGCAATCCTTTCTCAAACTCGTCGCTGAGTTTGAAGCTTTGAACCTAAAACCAAAATTGTCACTCTTTTCTCAATTGTTTGTCTAACTGGTAGAACCTAAATTCGAAAATTTCTTTGTAATTTCTTGAGACTAACCGATAAAACTCATCCATAAACCTTATTGGTTTTGATTTTAGGTTCCACCAGAAAGACTAATAATTGAGAGAGGGATGAACATTTTAATTTTGGGTTTAAAGCTTCAAACTCAACGATGAGTTTGGGAAAGAGTACGAGAGGAGAGAGGAAGCTTAATTGAGAATATAGAGAAGTATGAATATACAATTTTATCCATGTTATTAACAAAAAAGTTAACAAAGGATCATTCGTGAAAAATGATATAATAATTAGGGACTAAATTAGTACTCCCTCCGTCCCATTTTATAACGCCTGTTTCGGATTTACGATGTTTGATTGAAATTATTTTCAAATCATTTTACTACCTCCGTCCCATTTTATAATGCATGTTTCGGTTTACGATGTTTGACTGAAATTATTTTCAAACCATTTTATATGACAAATGGTATAGAATTAAAAAATAAAAATTACATATTAAAAAACTATATCAAAAGATCTTCAAAACTAGTAGTGACGATAATATTTTATTTTATCAAATTGCTAACGAAAATAGAGAAAGAAAGTGAATAAAGTTTGACCATGTGAATAGTAAACAGACATTATAATTTGGGACGGAGGGAGTATATGACAAATGATATATAGTTAAAAAATAAAAATTACATATTAAAATACTACATCAAAAGATCTACAAATCTAGTAGTGACAATAATACTTTATTTTATCAAATTGCTAACGAAAATAGAGAAAGAAAGTGAATGAAGTTTGACCCTGTGAATAGTGAACAGACATTATAATTTGGGACGGAGGGAGTAATATTTGACATGTAGGGACTAAATATGTAAAACGACCTATAACTGTGGACCTTTTATGAAATTTACTCTTAAATCAATAATGAAATTTAAAATTTACCTAATTAAAATTTGACTAAGCATGCAAATTAATCGGGGATGGTGGAAAGCTCAAATTTTCCATATTAGTTTCATCTTTTAAAAGCTTAGTTTGATTGAAAACTTAAGTGTGAACTTCATCAGGAGACATCAGCATGTACACTTGCAATTCCCACTCGTGAAAACTGAAAGTCTGTAACAATACTTATTGTTAGAATTGTTGCTTGGAAATGGAGAGAAAAACAAAACATCAATACATACATTCACAAAAGACATTTTGGCATACACATTGATTTACATGCTTTATAATGTGATCAACGAGAAGACTCGAAACATTAATACCCGACTCTTGCTTTTAGCTCACGTTGCTTAAGGAAACGGGGTGGAATTTACCAACGTGCCCTTATATAAACAGCAACTCCATAGGGGTAGAGTTGTAAACTCACGTCGTTCCTTGAATGAGTTCCTAAACATTTTTCTATTGTATCATTTGCAACTATATACAACTCCTAACATATTCTACAAAGAACATTTAACCACAGAAGGCTCACTCGCTGGCCTGCTTCGATACCATGACAGAATTTAAAAGTGGGTCGGGACCGAGATTCTATACATTGTGAGATTGGCCATCACGTTATGCCTTTTTCTTTCTTGATTTTCTTTCTCGTTTATACACTCCCTCGTCCTCCAACTGCAGTCATTACAGAAAACATCGCATGAAATGAAATGATGTGAAATTTAACTCCCTCGGTCCCACCAAAAGAGTTCATTTAAGAAAAAACAATTTGTCTAATGTTAGTATGTTACAATACATATAATGAGACTCACCATTCTTTGAGCAAGGTATAGTTGTTGTCTTCGGTTGCTATAGTCTTTGATAGCAATCCTTTTCCCGGGGTGAGATAGTTTTTGGATAAACCCTTGTGTATGATTATAAATGCTGCAAAGATGTAAAATCTCTAAGCAGGTATAACAAAAGATATTAAAGTATATTGTATCCATTTCACAATGATCTAATAGACCAAGACTGAAAGAAATTATTTTTTTTCAAATTTCAGTAGAAAATCACATAGAACATACATACCTTAGCCGATGCCTATTGCAGGTTGTGAAGAACGCAACAAAACCATTAAGAATGCTCCGAACAGCGCGAAAAATCTGTCAAGGAAATAAGGGTTTGAAAAGATGAGATGACGCATAGATGAGTACAATGAGCATCTAATGGAAAGCTTGAAAAAAGAAAATGAGTCATTAGAAAGGCATAAAACCTGAGAGAAAAGGTCATTCCAAAGAGAACGCCACATGGAAGGTTCATATGAAGTCACTGTAGACTCCACCTCAGAAGTGAACTGGAGAAGGCTACTCAAAAACACCCACGCGTCTTGAACCACACTATATGTGAAAAAGCAGATGCCGGCAACAAGACTGTACAATCCAAGGACCAAACGAATGGGGAAATAGAGTATTTCCCATATAAACCAAAACACGTCGTTTAACAAAAATGTTGCTGCAACCAAAGAATGCAATTTGATAAGAAAAAAAAATTACATAAGGTCTGAGGAGAATTCTAGAAATCATTGAGAAGAGAGAAGTTTCCAAGAAGAGATATTTCACGTGCATATATTTTGTATTTAAAAAACAATGAACAGATGATAAGGAGCAAGGAAAATTGATCAACACACATATGAGTAGGAACACAGGGAATGTTTGAGTGTACTTACCAATGTTCCAGAAAAGAGAAAGGAGAAACCAAAACGGCAAAAACACGATATGAAGAAACTCAGCCACCAGACTGCAAGAAGTCTCCAATGTCATCCATATTATAGACAAACAACCCCCAACAAGTTCGGTGCACATGTTCCAGAAAGGAAGAATAAAGTCCAAACCCACAAGTAGCGGTCCCAAGAGTGGCTTTGCGAGGATTGAAAAAAAAGATTGAACAGTACGCGCCATCATGATAAACCATCTGACAGCCTTCTGAAAATTGTGAAGGAACAACATCGTCCCCAAGCATTTAATTCTTGAAATCATTTCCCAAGTTTCTATCCAATGAAAAAGGGGTCCAAATAAGTGTGATGCTGTTGCCTTGAGTAGAGGCACGTTTTTGTAAAGATCGTAAAATCCTATAAGAACGGTAATTACTGATATTATCACATATAAGAATCTTGCCAGAGGACACATCCATGGGCGATAGAGGCGGCAAAACCCAGGGTATGACTGGAGGAAGATAGCCCAAGATGGCAGACCTGACTCCAGTAGGGTAAGAAGCCGCAAATCGAACATTATAATGTCCTTCAATTTAAAAGGGAGGTGACAATCATTGAAACGAAACAAAATCAAAACATCCTTGTACCGAGTAGCTTCGACAACATCCTCACTTTCACTTGAATCATTATTATGGGAACAATGTGGAGATCCAATGCTTTCGCAAAAAGATTCTTCTGAGAACAGATCAGATCTAGCGCAGGACTTCAAAAAGCTTCTTCTCTTATAAGGTCCAGCTGGAGGCGGCGTACAAAATGGGTTATTGTCTATTGTTTCTGAGGAGCAGCCAGGAGCCTCATCTCTGGAGAACGTATCATCGACATTTCCATCTACCTCACTAGTTCTTAAAAAGTTTTCTTCAGCATCATAAAATGAATCACCTGTACAAATCTCAATAACAGATAAAAGATTGATAAGGCTTTGCCGTGTTTGATATTTTAGAAATTAGATACGGTTGCTGAAGGAACATTGCATTGAGTATACAATAAAGAAACTGATTTAAACCCAACAACAATAACACCATATGGTATTCTTCATAGAGCTGTCTTCTTTGCAGACGCAAGAACAAGAATCAGTTCATACACTTACAGGCATGTGAAGCATTAATGAGAATATAATTACATATTCACACGCTTGACATGTTAAGACAAATGTATGAAAAGCTAAACTTGCATAGAATAGGATACATTTCAAAAAAGCAGTTAACTTGAATAACAAAAAAGCATACCAGTTGTAGACTCCAAGTATTCTCTCAAAATACTTTGCTCAGTGCGAGTCCCCCGGAACCATGAAGGTATGCACCTAGAAGCCTGTGACGCACTATCAAATTCCCATCTTCTCATGAATTTGGCCTCAATAGCAAGACATGTATCTGTCTGCAATCAATGTGTATTGATAGCTTTATGTATCATTTGATATCAATCCATGATGGGTATGAACCATGAAGGAATAGAATGGATACCTGGAGTTCATTCAAATAGTTTAGACCCCTGACATCATTCCATGAAACTTCAAACACAATGAACCCATATAACGTCCTGTGTAGTTTGCTATTCAGTATTAAAGAATTCCTCAATTTCTCCACAGGTAAAAGTGCCCTTTTCTTGGATAAGGTTGCAGCATCAACCAAAGAAAACCATCTTTTTATCTTTTCAGATTTGCGTGTCTTTGTTTCCGGATTAGCTTGCAATTCCTGCATAGTTTGAGTGCCACGTTTCCCCTTCTTCCCTCTCGTATTCGCAAAAGGGGACATCCTGGACTTCATTTTACAAGGATCACAGTAAAATAAAACAACACCACTTTTGATCTTACTGTCACAATTTCAAATGTTTTGCAGATATACATATACAGTAGATATAACCCATAGTAAGCTACCTTAGTGACCATCAACTGCCATAGGTGTGCAGGACGGGAGATGAGATCTTTCAGCCAGGGACGATTATCCACCAATATGTATAATCTATTACTCTCATGTGCTAGGAAAAGGTTAAGATGGGATAGATAAGATTGCAAATCTCTGCAAAAACACAAGCAGAAGCTTAATCAGGACAGAAAATGGAATGAGATTAAACCCCAGGATCAAGCCAAGAGCCCAAGTCACATGCAACACAACATACACACACCATCTAGATCCAAATCTAAAGAAGAAGTATAATACACTCAAATGAACAATTTCCACCAAATGTCTTTGTTTAGCATTCAAAATCTAAACCAAAACCTCTACACCACATTTTTAACCAATCCAAAACATAAAATTCAAGAAAATTTATCTGCCCTTCAATTGTTCATTCAGTCTGGGATCCCACAGCCATGTGATATTCTGATCAGCAAGCAGTTTGTAATAAGCCCAATAACAACCACATAATGGTTTCTAACATTAATCAGCCAATGAATTGAAATATAAACTTCTTCATACATTCACTCATAAACACAAATTGCATATCCACCATAGTTTAAGGACCTAATAACAAGTTTTGAACAGGAAAAAGAACTCCTCAAAGGGCTCAAACAGTAGTAAGATCAACACAATAAGAGTTGGAGAAAAAAGAAGCTGAAATTCATACCCAATTTGCAAACTCGTCAGCGGAAAGACACATCTGCTCCCCATCAACTTCACAATGACGCTTCAGTTACCGATCTTTAGCTCTCAATCTTTCATCCCCGACCCCAAACACTGCTCCTTCACGACTTCACGATCAAATTAACAACAAAAATCAAGTCTTTTTACAGTTTTTAAAAAGATTTCACATAACCCAACAAAATTCAAAAACATAAACAAAAAAAGAAGAAGAAGAATTGTACTGTTGGATTAACTCTAGCGTTTTCTACCCGAAAAAGGTAAACTGAGATCGAGCAAATACCTTTGAGAATTCAGGAGGAGAAGGAAAAGAGGAGAGCAATATACGGGGTATAATATACAGAGAAAAAGAGGGGTAAATTCGGAAAAGGGAAGGAGAGATTATTGTCAGGAGGGGCGTTAAAGGCCTTCTGCTTGAATGAATGACGAAGGAGGAGGAGAGAAGAGAAATTGGGAAGCGTGCGAATTCAATTGGGGGTTATCTTCGTAGTTAATGCGGGTCTAGGAGGGCATGATTGTAAATTCGCGGACCGATCCGGGATCTCTTCCCGCGTCGTCTTCTTCGTTGAGGAGGAGGAACAGAGAGACGTGTACGTGTATAAAGTGGCGTATAAATTAAGGCAATACGTAGCTGTAAATGCGTATAAGTATACGGCGATGATGTCTTGTAGCGTGTATGTATGTCGCCTCAAGCGAGTCGCCGCGCGCGTGTCCTTCTCACTTTTCCCGTCTATGGCGGATACTGTGGAAATGATGAGGCACATTGAATAATGCGAGCCACGACACAACAATAATACTCCATATATAATCGATACTCCTCTACAATAATGTATTAATGTGCAAATAACACAAACATTTGTCCACTTCTCGAAGGTCCCTCACAACATGTGGAACAATCAAGGACCATGCTACACTTACACCAAAAAATATACCCCATTTGTACACTGCAGGTTTGCACAAACATTTCAATGGTTTACACTGACACAAGTGTTGGTGCGTTAATAAAAATTCACACGGACACAAATGTTGGTGCGTTTAACAAAAATTAGTTTTACACCAACACAAAGTATTGGTGCAAAACTGCGGGGTACAAATTGGGGTACAAACCTTGGGGTACACATAGCATAATCCAACAATCAATTGAGAAGAAGAAAATTAAGTTCAGCATTCTACACCACAGGGTGTACCCCAAATTTTTCAATGCTTCCTGTATCGACCACGGAAATATGTGACAGTGTACCCCAAATTTTCCTATCA